GAGCTGAGAGCTTGGTTGCTTTTTGTTGTTTTTTGAGGCTGACAAATGGTGGCTTATGTCATCTCAGACCTTAGAGCCCATCTTTGTGGAATGACTCGTGGGCCCAGGCCAGGGGCCGGCTTGGGGTGGGAGTGTGTGTGCAGGGTAGGCGTTTGCCCCCCCCTTAAGGCTGGGCTCTGCGCAGTGCAGGACAGGTGGGGGGTCGGGGAGAGAGGGGTGATCCTCAAAAGACTCAATCAGAGCTGGGAGGAAGCAATCAGGCAGTTCCAAAGGCAGGATGAGGTGGGGGCCAGGACTGAGGAGAGGGAAGATAGAAATCCAGTCTTGAGGCCAGAGTGCAGGGCTGAAGGCACAGGCCAGGCAGGTGACTGACCTGGGTTCAATGCCTGGCAGTACTCAGCACTACCGGATGTAACACTGAAGGCTCCCCACCACTGCTAGGGGTGACCCTGGTATTCCCTGAACCGGCAGAGCCCATGCAGCACTGAATCCTTAAATCCTGCCTCTGAACTGCTGGTCCAGTTGGCTGGGTCTTACCCAGAGTGGCCTGAGACCCCCAGGGCACCTCTGGAGAGCCGTCCACTAATAAAAAGGCCCTAGACACCTCCTTCCCCAGGGACCCCAGGCCGCTTGCCCCCTCCCTTTCTTTTTGGGTCACATGGGAGATGCTCAGGGGTTACTCCTGGCTCTGCACTCAGGAATTACTTCTGGTGGTGCTTGGAGGACCATATAGGATGCTGAGGGTTGAACCCAGGTCACCAGCATGCAAGGCAAATGCTCTCACCCTGCATCATCACTCCGCCCTCCCCCCTCGCCGCCCCTCTGGCTCTCAGCTCACTGTCACTGTCCAGTTGATTTCTGCCTCCTGAGTCTGTTCCACGGGACAAACAGTGCTGCTCAGTGACTCACTCTGACTCATACACCCTCCCTCCCAGGCCTTGGTCACCTGTGCCACCTGGAATAACCATCTTCCAACACCTTCACAGCCCAGGACGCCCGGGGTGCTGTTTGGATCAGGCTTAGGAGAAGTGGGAATCTAGAGACTGGAAGTGGAAGGCTACGTGGGGGCGGGGTGGGGGTGGGTTCCCCCTCCCAGGTCAGCATCCTTGGCCCCAGCTGGTACCTAGTCGCTGTGGAGGATGCAGATTCCACATGGAAGGCCTCGTAGGAGAGAATCTTAAGTGCCAGCTGGTCTTACCCAGCCAGTGCGGGCTGTTCCCCCAGGCAGAAAGTATCTCTTCGGAGTGCAGAGCCAGAGATGCACACAGGGGTTATGCCACTTGCCTTGTCCACAATGACACGGGTTCGATCCCTGGTGCCCCATAGTGTCCCCCCTTCTCCAGTACAGCGAGGAGTGATCCTGCAGCACAGAGCCAGGAGTCAGTCCTGAGCACCAATGGGTGTGGCCTCACCGCCCACCCACTCAAAGGAAAATACAATACTTGTGTGGGAAGGGTTATTGAAAAGGATATTTTCCTATACAGATTTTTTTTTATTTTAAAATTTGGGGGATTTTGATTAGGGGCCACACCGGGCAGTGCTCAGGGCTTACCCCTGGCTCTGTACTCAGGGATTTATAGGAGATACTAGGGATCGAATCCCATCTGCATGCCAGAGAAGGAACTTACCCACTGATTTTTTTCTTTTTTTTCATCCCTCCCACCCCCACCCCCACCCCACCCCCGTCCCACCCTGCCGCTGTGGCAGAGCATTCCCCCTTGTTCTCTCTCTCTTCTTTTGGGTACTGTGTTTTGCCAGAGAGGCATTGAGTGGCAATCATGTTTGGTCTATAGACTACTTTTAGCATGTCTCTCCCACCCTGGGAGGGTCTTCACAACACCCTTTATTTGGTGCTCTCTTCTCTATCTGAGCTTCCTTCTCACCTAGCACATGTGGCTGGCCTTCAAGTCATGGAGCAAAATTCCTGGTACTAATCTGAGCCATTCCTGGGTGTTAGTCTCCCGTTTTGTTGCTTTATGTTCCCCAGATGGATGCAATCTTTCTGTGTCTATCCCGCTCTTTTTGACTCATTTCGCTTAACATGATACTTTCCATACAGTACTACTTATATGTAAATTTCATGACTTCATCTTTTCTAACAGCTACATAGTACTCCATTGTGTAGATGTACCAAAGTTTCTTTAACCAGTCATCTGTTCTTGAGCACTCAGGTTTTTTCCAGATTCTGGCTATTGTAAAGAGTGCTGCAATAAACAGACAATTGCAGATGTCACTTCGACTATACTTTTTTGCCTCTCTGGGATATATTCCCAGGAGTGCTATAGCTGATACCCACTGATTTAAAAAAAAAAAAAAGCTCTCCAGTCCCGATTTTTAAACATTTTTTGTGTGTTTTTATTTTTATTTTGTATTGAATCAGCGTGAATCAAAGTTACAAAGATATTTATGATTGAGTTTCAGGCATCTAGTGTTGCAACCCCAATCTCTTTATCAGTGTTCCCAGTTTCCATCCCAGCCCCCAGCCTGCCTCTGTGGTAGGAGCATTTCCCTTCCACCAGTGTCCTCGTGCTCCCTTCCTGGTGTTCATCACCACCACTTCTCCGCCCCCCGGATTTTAATTCTTTAGTGAAGCAAAATAGTTTTCTTTTTTTAAAGGAACTTACTTAGATGTGGGGGGTGGGGGAGAGGAAGGAAGAATAACGTGTTCAAGAGAGAGCACAGCAAGCAAAGAACCAGCGAGTCAGATAGTGTTTACGGAGAACAGGGACTTGAAGAGCCGAGGCCCATAGCGAGATTTCAAAAGGCAAAAAGAGAGATGCGGGCTGGGAGGGAGAGACAGTTAAGAGAGGAAAGGTGCTAGTCCGAGGAACCCAATCAGGTCCCTACAGCCGAGCCAGGGTGACCCCTGAGCACGGAGGCCGGGACAGACCCTGAGCACCACTGGCTATGGTCCCAAACCAAGACAAACCCGGCTGAAAAAAAAAAAAAAGATAAAGCATTGGCCTGGGGCGAACCGGGCGCGCGTGTCAGCCTGGCCCGCCCACCCGAGCCGGAGGCCGGCCGCGGGGCGGGACTCCGAGTCCCCGGGTTCCACCCCACCTCCCCGCTGCTGTCCTCTCCTGCTGTCCCGGCTGGATCCTGGCCTTCCCGCAGCCAGGTCCCGCGGGAGGCCGGCCCGTCGGTTTCCTCTGCGCCTGCAGCTCCGAGTGGCCGGCCCCGGGCGGTGGGTCTGGGCGCGCCCGGGCGCCTCATTATCTGCGTTTCCGCGGCCGGCGCCCGGGGACTTGGCGGGGGCAGCTCGGGGAACGCGCTGTGCCCTGCTTCCTGAGGCCACCCGCGCCGCGGGACGCGCGCGTGTGTGTGTGTGTGCGTGCGTGTGTGTACGTGCGTGTGTGTGCATGTGTGCATGTGTGTGTACGTGCGTGTGTGTGAGTATTTGTGCGAGTGTGCGTGCGTGTGTGTGTGCTCATGTGGGAGCTCACGTGTGTGCGTGTGTGAGCTCACGTGTGTGCATGTATGTACGTGTGTGCGTGCATGTGTGTGCGTGTATGAGTGCGTGAGCTCGCTTGTGTGAGCTCACGTGTGTGCGTGTCTGTGTTTGGGGGTTGCGGTGGTCTCCCCACTCCCCTGGACCTGCAGCCTCCCACGCGCTAGACTTTGATTCCCACCAAGCCGGGTCAGAACCTCAGCCGCCTAGTCTATGCCTAGGGCAGCTGCTGCCATCCACTTGGGATTCTAGGGGCGCGCACAAGTGGTAGCAGGGGATGGGAGGCGGTTCTCCCAGAAGTACCCAGGGTGGGACCCGGGTTCCCGCCCGCCAAGCACCGGCTCAGTCCTTTGCACCATTTCCCAGGCCCCCTCTGTGGCCTAGTTAATTTTTTATTATCATTATGTTGTTGTTGTTGTTATTGCTATTATTATTATTTTGGTTTTGGCGTCACAGCCGGCGGTGCTGCAGGGACCATATGAATGGCGGGAGATGTAATCCCGGTCGGCCACGCGCAAGGCAAACGTCCTACCCAATGTGCTATAGCTCTGGCCCCTGTTGCCTTCGTCATCATCATCATCATCATCATCATCATCATCATCACCGTTATCATTATCATCATCATCACCATCTTCATCATTTTGCTTTCTTGGCCACATTTGATGGTGCTCAGGGCTTACCCTTGACTCTGTGCTCAGGGATCACACCTGACGGCGCTCGGGGGACCATAAGGGAGGGGGCATGCTGGGGATAGGACAGACACGGGTTGACCGCGTGCAAGCAAGTGCCCTCCCCGCTGTATTATCCTTCTGGCCTCTGTGGCCCATTTTAAAACAAAGCCCAATTATGAGCGCCAGGCTGCCGGCTGTGTGCGCGGGGCCGGGCGTCAGCGCCTCCGAGTTTCGGAGCGCCGCGAAGAACTAGCCGAGAAGCCCGAGAAAGCTCCCCCCGAGCGCCAAAGCCAACCGGGTCGGGAGCCCTGGGTCGCGTTCGGCCAGCACCCGCTCCTCGTACGTGTCACTCACAACTGGTACACGACCAGGTCGGCCGGAGCGCGGACCGCGCGCGGGGGGCTCCGTCTCTCCTCTCCGGGGCTCGTGGGGACTAGCCGCGGCGGGCGGATTCCCCGCTCCCACGCCCAGCGGACCCCACCTCCTCCCGGTCCCCGCCCCGGCCCTGGCCCCGCCCCGGGGGCACCGGGGCTGAATGCGCCGCGCTAGCTCCTAAGTGCGTCACGGGCACCGGCCGTGCTGCTCCAGCCCAGGGCGAGGCTGGCCGCGGGCCAACGCGGGCCGGCCCAGGGGTGCCGGGCAGTCTCTGGGGCGGGCACCCGGGCGTGCCAGGCAGAGCGCTGTTGAGGAGGTGCTGGGGGGCGGGAGGACTTGGCTGGGGGCTTCCTCAGCGCCGGGCCGCCAGCCGGGGCTCCCCTGGCCATTCCTTGGACCCCCGAGTCTTTCTTGGTTTCCCCACGCGCCGAGGCAGCGGAGTTTTTTTTTTCCCCTCTCCGGGAAACTCCTCGAACCCTTCTTGGGGTTCCCCGCCCCGCCCCGCCCCAGCTCCCCGCCCCCTCCCCTAGGCTGGCCCGAGCCTGGAGGGGGACAGGAAGGTCCTGGACTGGGGCACCTCGGGTGTTGGGGGCCAGCGAAGCCGCGGGCCACTGACCCGCCCCCCGCCATGTGACGCCCCTCTGGTCGCAGCGACCCCCCGTGTGGCCCGGGCCCCCCGGCTCACCATGCGCCTGCCGAGCCCCGCGCGCCCGCTGCCACCCGCGCCTCAGCCCGCGCCGCAGCCGCCGGGGCAGTTTCTGCGCCTCTTCTACTGCACCGTCCTGGTCTGCTCCAAGGAGATCGCGGCGCTCACCGACTTCTCCGGTAAGGAGCACCCTCCCCGACCGTGCGCCCCGAGCTGCGCGGCGCCCAGGTGAGCCCCCGGCCGAGGGCAGCGGCGCTGGGGCGCGGGCGGCACCCGCGGGATGCTTAGGAGTCGGGACGCGCGCGTTGAGCCCGTGTTCTAGCGGGGACCCCCTGGTAGCTGCGTGCACCTGCGGCGCCGGCACGGGTGCCCTCCCCACGCTGGAAGGATGGGTGGGAACATTTCTGAGCCGCTGTGGAGCGGTTCGGGCGCTGGGTCCCTACTCTGACCCTTGCGCGCGCCCGTTAGGGAGCCTGACCAGGCGAGGTACTGATCCACGTGTTGCGGCCTGAGAATAGCCTCGGGAGTGTCCGGGGCAGAATCCGGGTGTGCCCATAAAGAGACTAGCTGGGGGCGGGGTGGGGACGTTTGGTTTCCTGTCTGAGCCACAGCCTGGGAACACTGAAAGTGGGCGAGAGGGTGGGGTGGGGGGGAGGTGGGCGGTGGTCTCTGTTGGAGACGCTCAGAGATTTACAGGGTTGAAAAGAGGCTCCAGGGCAAGGCACTAGGGGCGGCTGGCCAGTGCCAAGCTCGTGAAGAATACATTAAAAAAAAAAAGAAATATTGCCCTGGGACCCCTCCCGGGCCATGAGGAGGTTTGTCTGAGGGTGGGGGGTGGGTGGGACAATGCTTGGGGTCCTGAGGTCTGGGTCCCGCCACTGAGCACAGGATCTCTGTGGGGTTGGCAGCAGTGGCATGGCCAAGTGGAGACATTTCTGGGTTGAGTGAGATTGCCCGAGTTCTCACATTACCTACCAGGGCAATTGCTCAGAGACAGCGGGGCTGAGCTCCCTGGGGCCAGACTTTTCCTTTCGTTTCTCCCCGCCCCCACCCCCGCCAGCCTCCACCTGGGGTCGTTCTTGCAGTTGGGCATAGCCCCCCAACCCCCTCCATGAGCCCCTCTAAGGTCTCTTCTCATTGAGATTGGCCAGGACCCTCCTGGGCCTGCCTGGTGCTTTAGAGATGCCAGGCTGAAGCAGAGAACCCTGGCAGATCTCAAGCCCAGTTGGGTTTCTGGTTTGCTTACAGAGACTGTCATTGTTAGCTTGGGAGCCCTGAGGTCAGAGGTTCTTTGCTTTGAATATTTAATATCAAGGCAATGTTTCCACCTGGCAAACCAAGCCAAGATATGCCTCTTTGGCAAGCTTGAGCACGGTCCTTAAAATCGAGCTCCGTGGGGTCAGAACACGGTGGGAAATGCGTTTGGGAGTCGCTTTTCAAGCCGGTGGGTGGAGGGTGGGGGGAGGATGGGGCAGGGAATAGAACTTTCTTGGCTGCTCCGGAAAAGTCTGCGTCTGCTGATTTAAACTGGGGACAGCAGTTCTAAACCTAGCCACCCTCTGGCCCTGATGTTGTTAAGGAAAGCATTAAAACCCCACAAGCCCTGTGTGTATGTGTGTGTGTGTGTGTGTGTGTGTGTGTGTGTGAGAGAGAGAGAGAGAGAGAGAGAGAGAGAGAGAGAGAGAGAGAGATCATAGCAACTGAACAAATATTGCTTTAGGTAAATCTCGGGGTAACCATTAGATTGCTTTCCCAGATGAAAGACACTTAGCATTTGTTTCTTTAGGGGTACCATTGCCATACTTGTAGCAGCCTATAGGTGACCCCCCACGTTTGGGACCTGGGTCTATAAGCGTAGCAACTGTGGATTTGAGCTAACAGGGAGGGGAATGGGTCTTCTAAATCCGCGCTGGAAGGAATTTCCTTCAGCTTTCCCCGCAAACCTAAATTCCAGGATTTAACCCTCACTGCCCACACCAGCAGGAGGTGGTGGATCTTACCAGCTCGTCCCTCAGACCAACCCGCTTTGCTTGTTCTCCAGGGATCTCTCAGGCGTAGGGACAAGATGCCAGGGCGCTTTGGGGAGAGAAGAAAACTAAGCTCCTTTCCTAACCACAGGCACACTCGAGTTCAAACACAGTGACATCAGGGAGAAAGAGGAAGTCTCAGAGAGTTGATCACTTTGACTTGAGACTTAACTGACCTTTAGGGGACAGCCTCCCCCACCCCTACCCCTCTCCCCCCCCCCCCCGCCCTGCCAACCATGTGATACACAGCAAGGAGGAGGAAAATTCCTCAGTTCCAAGATGACAATCCAGCATTTCAGTTTTAGTGACAACTGTGATTCCTGATTAAGTACCTCTGCCCCATTTCCCCCAGCCCCCCATCCTTAAAACACATCTTTAAGGCACCACTCCTAAAGCACGATGCCTGCTTTCTGGGGGACAGGCAGTTCTGTTCCTCTTTTTTTATGAACTTGGGGGAGTGGATTGAAACCAGAGACAGTGAGCCCTCCCCCCTGAGGCTGACAGAGACCGCACAACCCCAAGAGTAGCTGCAGCCCGCTCAGATTCTTGCTTGTTTTTCTAAGCTGTGGAACATCAAGAGCTGAAACTGAAGGAGAAAAGTGTGTGTGGGGATCCATGGAGAAAATTGGAGATCCCCTTCACACTGGCAGGGAGGAAGGGTGGTGTGTGTTCACAAGAGAGAAGGTACTGGAATGTCAGACCTGCTAGCTCGTGAGTGGACCATGTCAGACCTTGCTGGGGATTGACAGGTTCTGGGAAAGTTCTTGAAGTCTTCATGCTGCGAAAACGTTCCTTGAGCCTTTTCCAGAGGCGTCAGCCGGCCACGTTTTCCTGGGTCATTGGTGTGTGTGTCCTGGGGATTCCAGCATCAGATCTCACTCTTAATAAGCCTGGAGCTGCATCCTGGCCTCCTCACCAGGCTCGTGATAGCACTAATCACCGCCAAGCCTGCTGGGAAACAGGCCCCCACCTGCCCCCGCGTCCTCCTCCCTGCAGACGTCAAGACAGGCCAGTAGTGGCACGGAAGGCTGTAGCCGCTGCCTCTCAGACCTGTCTCAGAAAGACGAGAGCAGAGGCAAAACTGGAGACTCCCTTGGGGGCCAGAGTATAGACAGGACAGTGGGGCAGGGCATTTGCTTGGCACACAACCAACCCCGGTTCAATCCCTGGCACCTCCTAGGGTCCCCCGAGCCCTGCCAAGGGTGATCCTTGAGTGCAGAGCCAGGAGGAAGCCCTGAAGCACCACACCAAAACACTCCGGGTGCCCCAGCCCCCTTCCATGTGCGCATTACTTGGCTTTCCTCCTGTCTCCTCTGGGATGATGGGGTTAGTTCTCCAGATGGTGTTCGACTGATGGTTTGGCTGGAGGGGTTCAAATGGATTATCTATAATGATGATGGTGATGGTGATGAAGATGATAATGATGATGAAGATGATGATGAAGATGTGATAAAGAAGATGATGATGATAAAGAAGATGATGATGAAGAAGATGATAATGAAGAAGATGATGATGAAGATGATGAAGATGATGATGAAGATGTTGATTATGATGAAGATAATGAAGATGATGATGATGATGATGATGATGATGATGATAATATGCTCATCAATGTTCCAAGACCAGAGCAGGAAACGGGGGTGTGTGTGGTGAGGACCAAGGGCACCAACTGCGGTTCCAGCCACAGAGACTGGAGGGTCTTGAGTCCAGCTTAGTCTGGGGGCATCCCTCCATTCTTGCCCATGTTGGAGTGTGGTCCTCCCCACATCTCCTTGATTGAGGCCAGTTGGGGTCTCCTCTCTCCTTTCTCTCGCTTGCTTCTCAAAGAAGTTGGATGTGATTGATGGGTGTGGGGAGAAGATTGGTGCAGTGGGATGGTCGGGAATGGAAGCCAATGTCCTTGTTGCCACCTGGAGCCTGACGTTCTTGACTTTTGGCCCTGGTCACCTGATTTCATGCCTGCTTTGCCCTGAGAGAGAGCACCAAGGAGGGGAGAAATGTGAAAGACACAGGGAAGCGGGTGGGAAATAGGAGTGTGGGACCACCGTGAAGGTTTTCCTGGTCCTCACCTGTTCCCCCAGACCTCAACAGAAGGTGACCACACAGCTACAGGGATCACTGAGCTCATGCATGTGCACACATACAAACACACATATGCGCACACACATTCACACTAACATGCACACGCATGCGCACACACATGCACACACTCACATACACACATGTACACACATGCACACACACACACACCCCAAGGATCAGTCCTGTGAGAGCATCCATACCATTGGCTCATTTATTTGTCCAGCAAAGAAGCCAGACTCAACTCCAGGTTTCATTGGCCAAGAATTCCAGAACCCTGGGGCCAAAGTAATAGCACAGCAGGTAGCACACTGGCCTTGCATGTGCCCCACTGGGTTTTATCTTTGGTGTCCCATATGGTCCCCCAAGGTACTGCCACGAGTGATTCCTGAGTGCAGACCAGGAGTAACCGCTAAGCATCAATGGGTGTGACCCCCAGCCCAAAACAAACTAAAACGAGTTGCAGAACTGAGGAAAATGGGAATTTGTTTGACTGTGGGGAGGGGGACTGGTCTGAGGTCCAAATTCAGTTCTCCTGGGGGTGGGGCGGGCGACTTCACTGTCCTCTTCAGAAAGGCTGCATCTCCCGGTTCTGCTCAGGTGTTCCCACTAACTCTCCAGCCCTCCACACTAACTCTCCAGTTCAGAGCACCTTAGATCTTCCTGCGCTGAGTGTCCTGGAGCATCTGGCTGGGGAGAGCCAGACACTGGCCACTTTTCAACAGCTCTGGATGGTTCTAGTGGACAGCCAGAGTTGAGTGTGCCTGTGGATCTAAACAGCCAGGAGCACTCGTGCCCGGAGCACCCAGCTCACGAGAGCTCACCTAGCTCTAGCCCCCAGGGATGCCATGACTATTTTCCCAGCTGTCTAGTTGTCGCAGCACACCCCACCCCTTAACACCCTCAGGCACATGCCTGTACCCCCCCCACACAACTGGGCATCCTGCACCCTGAACATCCAGGTCACAGGGCCCCCCATGCGGGGATGACCCCCACACACACACACACACAGTCAGAGCTTGGTAGTTGTCCTTGGCCTTTGTCCTCCTTCCCTGCTGGTCTTCCTTGTTCAG